CCCCAAAACCCCAAAACCCCAAAACCCCAAAACCCCAAAACCCCAAAACCCCAAAATTTAAGATATTTATTGAGCAACTATTTCTTTATATTCTCAAAAGTATCCCTGAACTCAAAATTTGAGCGGAATTTTCCAGTCAGGCATGCCTTAACGAAGTCATGAATGTTGTCAAGAGTCAATGGATGTGTCTGAGGAAAGACACATTGATTGCCCAAACCTGAGTTACTATAGGCCAGTGTGGGGAGACCATCCCAAGTGATGCCTATATCTCTTTTCCTCTGTGTGTGACTTTCGTTATCTTCTATTCTTCCAAAAACAACATATTTCAAAGTGTCTTCCAGAATTCTCAGAGTTTTTATCAGATCCCTCGATTGATCTGCTGAATGGATATCGTTAAAGTCAACAAATGCAATGAAAAGAGGCTTCTTCAAAACTGTATGGATTCTTTGTACAAATGCATTGAGCTTTGGCACTGGTGCCATACTTCTTCTACACAAGAACTCCAAGATAGGGATATTATCAGCATCCAAATTGTAGTACCTTGTGTCTCGGGTGTTCTCAGTGTTGCTAAAAAGAACAATAGAGTTATGAGAATATTCATCAAACCAAAGGTCTCCCATTTTCTCCTTATAGTAATCTACTAGAGACTTCTTTGTCACTTTAGCAACTCTTAGATCATTACGAATGGCTGAATCAAGGGCTGCCTCCTTCAGATCCTGTAATTCTGATTTTAAGTCGGACTTGTCCTTCACGAAAGCAACCACACGTGTTACCATCTGATAGTTCTTGAAATAATCAGGGATTGGCTATTATTTAGAAATGAAAATGGTACTTGTGAAGGAAATGGAGTATTCTCCTCCCATTCTAGTGTAGTATTTGTAAACTTATCAATACCTTCTTTGCTCTTTAACAACACAATTGGGTATAAATGTCTGTTGAGGAAATGTAGGAACAAATGAGCCTGAAAGTTCTCCTCATAATCAAAATACTTCCCATCTAAAACTTAAATTTGAATCTTACGGTATAATTTAACAATTGCTCCTTTCGAAGGTGCAATTCCTTCCTTATAAACAGCATCTTTATGGGTTGAATAATCAACTCGAACAATTGGAATTTCTTTCTTATAGGGGTTATCCTCGAGCCATTTTTGAACATTCTTGAGCATTCCTTCGCTTTTGCAGCATTCTATGGATTACTCAAAAATATACCTTCTCAAGTAGAATTTTGGGATGAGCTTTGTAATCCAGGGTTGACAATTCCTAATATAAAGACTTTATACTTTTTCTTGACCATCTCAAATGTAATTTCATCATCAATGATCCAGTCATGAACCTCAAGTGTTGGCAGCTCAGGGTTGCAGTCTAAATCGCCTGTCTGGAATTGGCTGGATTCCTCTTCGAAATCCATTTCAAATATTGTCTTAGCAAACCCGTAGGATAGCCATAGCACGAGAAATACCAAAAGCTTCATTTAATTCCAATTTTTAATTTAAGAAACGGGGTTTTGGGGTTTTGGGGTTTTGGGGTTTTGGGG